GGAAGGAGGAGAGGGGGGCAGGGGAAACGCTCATACAGAGGCAGGACAATTCAATTAGCGAAGAACTGGAGAAATGAGGTGGTCGGCCGGATTTTGTTTTCCTTATTCTTGATAATTAGGTAAAAGATGGGCACAGAACACACAAAGAGCTGTGCACTGGAAGTCACACTGTTTACACCTTTTCTGTGCAAATTAAATTGCGAATTTCGGGAGTTTTAGTACCCAATTGGCAGAAGGAATGGTAAAAAAACATGTAATTTTGCTTAAAAATATCAAAAGGTAACTTTAACTAATCATCTTGTATTGCTAATATTCGTCTCTATAACAATTGCCTTTAGTTGGGCATTTAAAATGATTAATATCTTTGAACTACTTCGACGGAAAATCCAGTTTGAAAGCCGAGCATCCATTACATACTCAGGATTGCTCCGGAATATTCCCCAATTGTTAGCTAGATAAATGGTTTGAGGTGTAAAGACATATACATTAATTATAATTGATTCAAAGATTTGCCTTTTTTCTCAAACTATGGTTTCTCTTTGCAGAAGAGGCAACAACTGATAAGAAATGTTATTCTACTAACTTCAAATCAATGAAAATCTACTTTGTTTTAAATCACACTACAGAAAAATGTTATTGCTACTTCCATCGAAAGGTTTACCTAAAGATTTGATCGATTTCCAATATATATGCAAAACAAATATTGTAGATTAACTAGTCACACTCCAACCTTCCTTCTTACAGATTTCGAATGACTATTTGGTCAATGGTGATAGCTCCAATTGACCACTTGTATAGCTGCTTGATAACAGGTTTTGTGGCTTTTGTAAAAAGGCCGTTTTCAGCACAAAATTAGGCTTTGTAGACAATTTCTATTGTCATTTGTCGAGTGCACACGTCAGCACATTTTTTCGGAAAAAAATTGGCGATTTTGTGATAATTCTTGCATTTGGGTGGGGTTATGGAGTCAAAGTACGGGTGGGGAACAAGAGAGAAGAATTTGCCAACACTGAAATCACCATCTTGGCTTTTCAAGCCCTTGTGATTTGAAATATGAGCTTTGGTATTGTGGAGGGCTAGGAATTTAGGAGAAATGGATGTCAATTGAACCAAATTTGGCATTGGAAAAAGAACGAGAGTTAAAAGGAGCATTGTGAAGTTCTATCAGAAATTATAATATTGTTATTTGTTAAAAAATGGGCAATAACAAATCGAATCTACCGGTTGCAAGACGAGATGACCAAGATGATTCGGAAACGCGTTACTATTACACCGGCAAAGAAGCGGATTTGGATGGGAAAATCAAGACGAGGAAACTATGCTCTTTGGTCAGAAGAAAACAAAACTTTTTGGCGTACGACTTCATCGTCAGGGTCATGATAGAACAGATCAGCCTAAAATTGTTGGTTTTATTTAAGAAAAATAGTGTCCTCTTGTGGAAAACTGGTGAGAAAGGCTGAATTTTATTTACTAGAAAGGAAGAAACTTGAATGCCATTGAGAATTTTCGAATGAAATTAAATACAAACATGCTTGAGCCCCATGGATTATTAGAGATGGCCGATAAATGATGTGATTTATCCCAGGGAGAATTCAAGGTAACACCACCCTCTGTTGCAAGCCAAATGGATACTATCTGGTTGAAACTTGTCCATGTCTGAATCGAATTCCCTCTCCACTTAAAACCAATAACACTTCACCTGGATATGGGGGTGGGAGTTTAAGGGAAAGAACACGATATGTAAGAGACACTCCATTTACTATTAATACTTGAAACAACAAGTAGAAAGGTCATATAATTAGGAGTGTCATAGCATTAATCATCAGAATATATAAAGCAAATTTCATAAAGATTACAATTTTGTTCACTTAAAAACTTACATCAAAATGTCGTTTTACTTTCATAAAACTTGCTTGGTCCATTTTATTTTTTTTACTTTTTTTTCAAGGAATTATAAATTTTATTTTTCATCGCTTAATACGATGAGTCACCACATTGTGCATCGATTACATATGGCAGGTTTAGGTCTATTCGGGGGNGGGGGGGGGGTTGTTAGATGTAATGGGGATAAAAGGGTGTGTTCGCTATGCGTACATCAATTGATTGATCGATTGCGTAAATTCATCGTCGCTTCTACCTACTCAGCAAGAAAAGTTGAATTCTCAGAGGTGCGCGCGGTGTTACGCTAACTATGTTGCCATGTGACAGTTAATATCCACTTTAAATTATCCGAAATTGAACAAGCATTTGAAAAGTCATAATTAATTTGCGTTGAGGATAAACCAGGAGAGGAATTAAAGTCAATTTTAAAAGCAATATTACCATTTATTAGGTCACAATGACGTAGAAATGATCGATAGAAATGGTATGACAACAGTGGAGAGATTTTGAGCAAATAGCAATAACTTACTGAAGCACAATTAGTCGAGATGAGATCGAATTTGGCGAAGATCAGCATACAACTCGCTAAATTAGTCGCAGGCTTATTTGAGGGAGGAGTTTAGGTTGTCTACAATGAATTTGTGGCCTCCATAATAGTTGAGCTTGAGATGGAAAATAATAGGTTATCGCCAGAAGGATTTATCAATTGACATACCTGAAGAAGCTGACTTTTACGTCGATACCAGTCCCAATGCGTAGACTCCGAAATAAGAATGTTGTATAATAAGGCAAAATGAAGCAGCAAATGGAATAATGTTTTCGATTAGGCTGAAACCACACTCAGATTGTTGCAATGAGGAATGGTGAAAAAGCCACTATTTTAACAGAAATTTAAATTAAACCAAAAAAATTATCTTCACTTGCATAGGTAAGGAAAAAAATGACCACTTTTTGGCAAAATGTGAGATTTCGTTTGAGAACACGTGCAATACTTCAATTAAACAAGCCCCCCCCCTCTCACCCTCACCACCACCACCACCCGTGCACGCTGCACGCATTGGTATATAAGCGAAAGAGGTAAGGTGGGTCCCACATATTCATAAGCACAAGCGCGAAAATGGAGCCAATTGTCGGGTACCTAGATGGTGCCGATATCGGTGTCATCGTCGCTTACTTTGTTATCATCTTTGCTGTCGGTATATGGTCTTCGTTGAGAAATCGTGGTTCTGTCGGAGGCTACTTCTTGGCCGGTCGTTCCATGCACTGGATCCCAGTTGGTGCCTCATTGTTTGCCAGTAACATAGGCTCAGGACATTTCATTGGTCTTGCTGGTTCTGGGGCATCTGCTGGTATTGCCAAGGCTGTCTTCGAGTACAATGCGGCTTTCACTCTGGGTCTTCTTGGCTGGCTCTTCTTGCCTGTCTACATTGCATCTGGTGTAAGTTCGAATATGAGACCTAATAGCATTTCCCATGCAGATCTTGACCATGCCTGAATACCTTCGAAAACGATTTGGTGGTCAACGTATACGAGTCTACTTGACTGTGATTGCTTTGCTCTTGTATATCTTCACCAAAATCTCAGCTGATCTGTATGCCGGTGCCTTGTTCATTCAACAGGCCATGGAACTCTCAATCTACCCATCGGCCATCATTCTGCTGGTAATCTCGGCGTTGTTCACAATTATGGGTAGGTCTTTGTCTCTTCCCACCCTCATCCCATATTCTCCCATACTCTACACTCCACTCCACTCCACTCCCCATCCCTCCCCACTCCTCATTTCTCCACTCCCTCTTTCAACACTTTAAATAATGCTAGCTCATGAATGACTGATGAAATACGTAACTTGAAATTGTAGGTGGTTTGACTGCTGTCATTTGGACTGATTTTGCTCAAGTCGTCATCATGTTGATTGGAGCCATGTTTCTTTGCATCAGAAGTGAGTTCTTGAGAGATTGAGTGTGGGCCATGGAAAAGGGGGTGTAATGTAAATGGTGTTTTATTTCACCCCGATAGGCTTCCAAGTGACAGGTGGCTTTGATAGTATGGTGATAAATTTCTTCAATGCAATTCCAAATACAACAAGGGCCTACCAGAGCACATCGTTTGAAATTCCAAATGAAAACTTTGAGGGCTGGAATCCTGATTTGTACGGTACAATGTCTGATAGGAATCACGTTTTAGCTGCCCAAAATCCAGAAAATCAACCATCTGGTATCTACGCTGAATGCAGCATTCCCCCATCTGATGCCATGAACTTCTTCCGAGCAATCGACAGTACTGAATTGCCTTGGGTTGGTGCTATGTTCGGTCTCACAGTGAATGCCACTTGGTACTGGTGTACTGATCAGGTCATTGTTCAACGTTGTTTGGCAGCGAAGAACATGATTCATGCAAAAGCAGGCATTGTGCTTGCCATGTTCATTAAGATGACTCCTCTTTGGCTCATGATTATCCCTGGAATGGCGGCTCGAGTCATTTTCGCAGACACTGTTGCCTGTGGTGACACCAATTTGTGCCAAAACATCTGTGGCAAGGTTGCCGGTTGCACGGATATTGCCTATCCCTCATTGGTCTTGAACCTCCTGCCCTCTGGAGCCCGAGGTTTGATGTTGTCTGTCATGATGGCATCCTTGGTTTCTTCATTGACGTCTATCTTCAACTCCTCCTCAACCATTTTCACCATTGATATCTGGAGACTGATTCGACCTCGTAGCAAAGATGCGGAGCTTATGATTGTTGGTCGGTGAGTTGGTGACTCATTCATGCATTCATAACATTACACGAATTGTGGTGGTGAATGACATAGCATTTGATCATTTCAGTGTTGCTGTCCTCATAATGGTGGCCATCAGTTTGGCGTGGATCCCAATTGTGCAGCTGAGTGATGCACTCTTCGACTACATCCAGTCTGTCACTGGCTACTTGTCCCCTCCAATTTGTGCTGTCTATGTATTCGCTGTATTCTGGTATCGAACGAATGAAATTGTACGTCGTGCATTTGTCTTAATGGGCCTCATTCGGAAATGGGATTCATTAATTCCCAGTCTGACTCTCATTTGTAGGGAGCCTTCGCGTCTTTGATTATTGGTCTCATAATTGGCGTGACTCGATTCATATGGGAGATTTCCTATGGTGCATCGCCCTGTGGTGAAGAGAGTACTAACCCCCCACACTTCTTGGTCACGATGCACTACCTACACTTCTCCATTCTTCTTTTTGGAATGTCAAGTGTCGTCATCGTGGTTGCCTCTTTAGTAACAGCTCCACTTCCACCTTCATATGTAAGTGCCCAATTTTTTGTTCATACTCCGTTCCCCAACCTCATTTTTTGTCACTCACAATTGTCGTTTTCCTACTTCAGACTCGTCGCTTAATCTTCTCAGATCGTCA